CTATAGTCGGTCTGTCGGGGTGGCTATAGTCGGCCTGTCGGGGTGGTGATGGTCGGCCTGTCGGGGTGGCCATGGTCGGCCTGTCGGGGTGGCTATAGTCGGTCTGTCGGGGTTGCTATAGTCGGCCTGTCGGGGTGGTGATGGTCGGCCTGTCAGGGTGGCCATGTTCGGCTTGTCGGAAAGGCCATGGTCGGCCTGTCGGGGTGGTGATGGTCGGCCTGTCGGGGTGGTGATGGTCGGCCTGTCGGGGTGGTGATGGTCGGCCTGTCGGGGTGGCCATAGTCGGCCTGTCGGGGTGGCTATAGTCGGTCTGTCGGGGTGGCCATGGTCGGCCTGTCGGGGTGGCCATAGTCGCCATCTCGGGGTGGCCATAGTCGGTCTGTCGGGGTGGCCATGGTCGGCCTGTCGGGGTGGCCATGGTCGGCCTGTCGGGGTGGCCATAGTCGCCCTCTAGGGGTGACCATGGTCGGCCTGTCGAGGTGACCATGGTCGGCCTGTCGGGGTGGCCATGGTCGGCCTGTCGGGGTGGCCATTGTCGCCCTCTAGGGGTGGCCATAGTCGGCTTGTCGGGTGGTCGTTGTCAGCCTGTCGGGGTGGCCATAGTCGGCCTGTCGGGGTGGCCATAGTCGGCCTGTCGGGGTGGCCATAGTCGGCCTGTCGGGGTGGCCATAGTCAACCTGTCGGGGGTGGCCATAGTCAACCTGTCGGGGGTGGCCATAGTCAACATATCGGGGTGGCCATAGTCGCCCTCTAGGGGTGGCCATAGTCGGCTTGTCGGGTGGTCGATGTCAGCCTGTCGGGGTGGCCAATGTCGGCCTGTCGGGGTGGCCATAGTCGGCCAGTCGGGGTGGCCATAGTCGGCCTGTCGGGGTGGCCATAGTCGGCTTGTCGAGGTGGCTATAGTCGGCCTGTCGAGGGTGGCTATAGACGGCCTGTCGGGGTGGCGATAATCGGCCTGTCAGGGTGGCTATAGTCGGCTTCTCGGCGTTGGCTATAGTCGGCCTGTCGGGGTGGCTATAGTCGGCCTGTCGGGGTGGCTATAGTCGGCCTGTCGGGGTGGCCATATTCAACTTGTCGGGCCTGGCCATAGTCAACCTGTCGGGATGGCCATAGTCAACCTGTCGGGATAGCCATAGTCGGCCTGTCGGGGGTGGCCATAGTCGGCCTGTCGGGGGTGGCCATAGTCAACCTGTCGGGGGTGTCCATAGTCAACCTGTCGGGATGGCCATAGTCGGCCTGTCGGGTTCGCCATTGTCAACCTGTCGGGGTGGCCATAGTCAACCTGTCGGGGGTGGCCATAGTCAACCTGTCGGGGGTGGCCATAGTCAACATGTCGGGGTGGCCATAGTCGGCCCGTCGGGGTGGCTATAGTCAGCCTTTTGGGGTGGCCATAGTCGGTCTGTCGGGGGTGGCTATAGTCAGCCTTTTGGGGTGGCCATAGTCGGTCTGTCGGGGTGGCTATAGTCGGGCTGTCGGGGGTGGCTATAGTAGGCCTGTCGGGGGTGACCATAGTCGGCCTGTCGGGGGTGACCATAGTCGGCCTGTCGGGGGTGACCATAGTCGGCCTGTCGGGGGTGGCCATAGTCAGCCTTTTGGGGTGGCCATAGTCGGTCTGTCGGGGGTGGCTATAGTCGGTCTGTCGGGGGTGGCTATAGTCGGTCTGTCGGGGGTGGCTATAGTCGGTCTGTCGGGGGTGGCTATAGTCGGCCTGTCGGGGGTCAACCCGTTCTCGCACTTTCTTACAGTCAATATTGACTTATTAAATAAGTGCATATGTGACATACTAATTTTAGTTTACTTTGAAAAGCTTCATAGAAAACACCGACCTTACCTAACCTTCTTAGTATGTTAAGATAAGCATCTTATTGCTTCGTAATTACAATTATTACTTAACCTATTAAAGGTACAGGTTAAGTAATAACTGTAATTACGAAGCAATGAGATGCTTATCTTAACATACTAAGAAGGTTAGGTAAGGTCGGTGTTTTGTATAAAGCATTTCAAGGTAAACTATGTAATTTCAAGGTAAAGGTAAGTTTATATAGTATACAATCATTTACATAAAAACATATACACATCGATTATCTTTTTATAGATAATCACATCTTTGGTGAATCACACAATCCTGCTCCATAGGTACATCTCTCCCCCTCTCTCTCTCTCTCTTTTAACATAAATTTAACAACAATGATCTTACGTCTGGCCAGGAGGGCAACTCCGACCTGGCTGTGATGACGTCACTCACGGCCTGACAACACGTCGTCCTGCAGAGGCGGGAAGGTCCTTCCCCCGCCCCTCTCAACCCCCCCCCCCTTCCTTCCTTCCCTCCGCCCCTTTCAAAACTCCCCTTTCCTTCCAGTCTACGAGCCACTACCGATCACAGCACTCTAATTTTCCCCTTCTACCCTCAGCGTCCCCCATCACCCTCTCAGCCCCCCCCCTCTCTCCCTCAGCCTCCCCTCGCCCCCTCCACCCCCTCATATTTTCCCCATCTTTGAGCGCTGGTAATTATATTTTCCATTTCACCCCTTTTGAAGGTTCATTGTCTCTGGTAACTGGCCGCATCTCCTGTTCCCCCTCTGCGGCACGCAGGCAGGCAGGCAGGCAGGCAGGCAGGCAGGGAGGGAGGGAGGCAGGCAGGCAGGCAGGCAGGCAGGCAGGCAGGCAAGCAGGCAGGCAGGCAGGCAGGCAGGCAGGCAGGCAGGCAGGCAGGGAGGGAGGCAGGCAGGCAGGCAGGCAGGCAGGCAGGCAGGCAGGGAGGGAGGCAGGCAGGCAGGCAGGCAGGCAGGCAGGCAGGCAGGCAGGCAGGCAGGCAGGCAGGCAGGCAGGGAGGGAGGGATGCAGGCAGGCAGGCAGGCAGGCAGGCAGGGAGGGATGCAGGCAGGCAGGCAGGCAGGCAGGGAGGGAGGGATGCAGGCAGGCAGGCAGGGAGGGAGGGAGGCAGGCAGGCAGGCAGGCAGGCAGGCAGGCAGGCAGGCAGGCAGGCAGGGAGGGAGGGAGGGATGCAGGCAGGCAGGCAGGCAGGCAGGGAGGGAGGGATGCAGGCAGGCAAGCAGGCAGGCAAGCAGGCAGGCAGACAGGCACGCAGGCAGGCAGGCAGGCAGGCAGGCAGGCAGGCAGGGAGGCCGGGAGGGAGGGATGCAGGCAGGCAGGCAGGCAGGCAGGGAGGGAGGGATGCAGGCAGGCAGGCAGGCAGGCAGGGAGGGAGGGATGCAGGCAGGCAGGCAGGCAGGGAGGGAGGGATGCAGGCAGGCAGGCAGGCAGGGAGGGATGCAGGCAGGCAAGCAGGCAGGCAAGCAGGCAGGCAGGCAGGCACGCAGGCAGGCAGGCAGGGAGGGATGCAGGCAGGTAGGCAGGGAGGGAGGGTGGGAGGGATGCAGGCAGGCAAGCAGGCAGGCAGGCAGGCAGGCAGGCAGGCAGGCAGGCAGGCAGACTGGCAGGCATGCAGGCAGGCAGACAGGCAGTATAGGGTAGGGAAGGCGGGAGGGAGGGAGTGGGACAGATGGTTGGGAGGTAACATTAACAAGACAGGTGCTTCAGGCTCCCCGTCACCAGAGAGGGGCACCCCGCCCCTCATTGGGGGGGGGGGGGGGGGGGGTCCTTACCTTGAGGTGATTTCGGAGCTTAGCGACCCCGCGGCCCAGTCCTCGACCAGGCCTCCTGCTTGCAGCCTGACGTATGAGTCACAGCTTGGTTGATCAGGTATCCTTTGGAGGTGCTTATCCAGTGCTCTCTTGAACACTGTGAGGGGTCGGCCAGTTATGCCCCTTATGTGTAGTGGAAGCGTGTTGAACAGTCTCGGGCCTCTGATGTTGATAGTTCTCTCTTGAACACTGTGAGGGGTCGGCCAGTTATGTCCCTTATGTGTAGTGGAAGCGTGTTGAACAGTCTCGGGCCTCTGATGTTGATAGTTCTCTCTTGAACACTGTGAGGGGTCGGCCAGTTATGTCCCTTATGTGTAGTGGAAGCGTGTTGAACAGTCTCGGGCCTCTGATGTTGATAGTTCTCTCTTGAACACTGTGAGGGGTCGGCCAGTTATGCCCCTTATGTATAGTGGAAGCGTGTTGAACAGTCTCGGGCCTCTGATGTTGATAGTTCTCTCTTGAACACTGTGAGGGGTCGGCCAGTTATGCCCATTATGTGTAGTGGAAGCGTGTTGAACAGTCTCGGGCCTCTGATGTTGATAGTTCTCTCTTGAACACTGTGAGGGGTCGGCCAGTTATGCCCCTTATGTGTAGTGGAAGCGTGTTGAACAGTCTCGAGCCTCTGATGTTGATAGTTCTCTCTTGAACACTGTGAAGGGTCGACCAGTTATGCCCCTTATGTGTAGTGGAAGCGTGTTGAACAGTCTCGGGCCTCTGATGTTGATAGTTCTCTCTTGAACACTGTGAGGGGTCGGCCAGTTATGCCCCTTATGTGTAGTGGAAGCGTGTTGAACAGTCTCGGGCCTCTGATGTTGATAGTTCTCTCTTGAACACTGTGAGGGGTCGGCCAGTTATGTCCCTTATGTGTAGTGGAAGCGTGTTGAACAGTCTCGGGCCTCTGATGTTGATAGTTCTCTCTTGAACACTGTGAGGGGTCGGCCAGTTATGTCCCTTATGTGTAGTGGAAGCGTGTTGAACAGTCTCGGGCCTCTGATGTTGATAGTTCTCTCTTGAACACTGTGAGGGGTCGGCCAGTTATGCCCCTTATGTATAGTGGAAGCGTGTTGAACAGTCTCGGGCCTCTGATGTTGATAGTTCTCTCTTGAACACTGTGAGGGGTCGGCCAGTTATGCCCATTATGTGTAGTGGAAGCGTGTTGAACAGTCTCGGGCCTCTGATGTTGATAGTTCTCTCTTGAACACTGTGAGGGGTCGGCCAGTTATGCCCCTTATGTGTAGTGGAAGTGTGTTGAACAGTCTCGGGCCTCTGATGTTGATAGTTCTCTCTTGAGCACTGTGAGGGGTCGGCCAGTTATGCCCCTTATGTGTAGTGGAAGCGTGTTGAACAGTCTCGGGCCTCTGATGTTGATAGTTCTCTCTTGAACACTGTGAGGGGTCGGCCAGTTATGTCCCTTATGTGTAGTGGAAGCGTGTTGAACAGTCTCGGGCCTCTGATGTTGATAGTTCTCTCTTGAACACTGTGAGGGGTCGGCCAGTTATGTCCCTTATGTGTAGTGGAAGCGTGTTGAACAGTCTCGGGCCTCTGATGTTGATAGTTCTCTCTTGAACACTGTGAGGGGTCGACCAGTTATGTCCCTTATGTGTATTGGAAGCGTGTTGAACAGTCTCGGGCCTCTGATGCTAATAGAGTTCTCTCTCAGAGTACCTGTTGCACCTCTGCTTTTCAACGGGGGTAATCTGCACATCCTGCCATGCCTTCTGGTCTCGTGTGATGTTATTTCTGTGTGAAGGTTTGGGACCAGCTCCTCTACTATTTTCCATGTGTAAATTATTATGT